AATATGCCCAAACCCTTGGCACTTAAAACATTTGATGTCCCTACTCCTAGTTTTAGGAGTCTCATGTGGTGCCTTAGAAATAGACCTGGACACATCGGAAACCTTGTTAGGTGTAGAATAGGCATTACGGGTTGAGGCGTTACCTTGGAATCGGGTAGTAGAGGTTGGTGTGGTCGCACTTCCAACTTCGTGGGTCGCTCTTCGTGGTTGGTTGCCCCTCCATGAAGTGGTGTTAGAAGATTGGAAAGTACGGGCTCCTCGTCTTAGCTTCTTTCCCCGCTCGGCCTTAATAGCGAGTTCTGGAAGGTCGTGCATGTCCAAGTAATGTTGGAGCTCCAAGGCTTCTTGAAGGTCAGGATTAAGACCTCTAAGAAACCTTGCCATCATGGCTTCATTGTCTTCTTGAATGTTGGCCCTCATCATGGCCATCTCGATTTCTTTGTAGTAGTCCTCCACACTCATGTTGCCTTGCGTGAGGGTTTGAAGCTTAGAGTGGAGATCGCGATTGTAGTAGCTAGGAACAAATCGCTTGCGCATTAGTGCCTTGAGTTCTCGCCAAGTCCGGACATGTGGTTCCCCCATTCTCCTTCTATTGGTCCTCACTTGGTCCCACCAGACTAGTGCATAGTCAGTGAACTCCACGGTGGTAACTTTAACCTTTTGTTCCTCGCTGTAGTCGTAGCAGTCGAAGACCATCTCGATACGGCCTTCCCACTCCAAGTAAGCTTCAGGGTCACTTTTGCCTTTGAATGCGGGGACTTGAATCTTAAGCCCCTTGAGTTCGTTCTTGGGCGTGTCCCTTGTAGGCCTCCCAGGTCGCTCCTCATCCTCACTAGCAGAGTAGTCTTCGCCATTCGCTTCTTTGGTGCTGTGGTTACTCCGGTTGTGGGACCTAGAACGAGAGCCTCGTGTAAGGCTCCTGGACAACTCGTCAAAACGAGTCTGTAACGTCTCCATTTGTTGCTCACTGATTCGCCTGAGCTCATTCTTCATCGCGGCGAATAACAATGAGGGATCGGTGGTTGCTTGTTGTTGCTCCATGTCTTCCTTGATGCCCCTGCAAAGGTTAGTAACAAGCAAAGAAAGTGCAAATATAATCCTTACTTCACTCCCTTAGTGTATTCCTCACGCTCGTGTGTGGTGCTCAATTCACTCTATTAGACTTACCAAGTACCTTTACTTGTTGGTTTAGGTAGTTGAGAAATGTTGCTCGAGTCCAATAATCGTCACCAACTTTTTCCCACAAGAGTAAACAAGAGTGAAGGACACAGTTTGGGTGAGATTTTGTGATGGAAGGACGGTCTTGGAAGGCTTAGGGGCGGTGGACAGATTTGGAAAATATTGCCAAGAAAGGAAACTCCAAGAATCCTAAGATGTAGGAGTGGCTTCCTAAAGTGGTTGAGAGAATATAGGAGAGTATCCTAAAATGGAGGAGAAAATATAGGAGGTGTCCAAGAGTTATCCAAGTATATTACTTAGTCTCCTAAGCTAAGTTGGAAAACAAGTTGGAGTTGGAAAATCCTTTGACGACCTTTCTTAAACAACTTCCTAATCCTTATTAAAACAGATTGGTCTCTTTCTTCCCTTAACCGAAAATTTCCAGAATTCCTTCCTCTTAATTCCTCCCCAAGGTCGGCTACAAACCCCTATAAAACCCGCTTAGGCAGCCGCACACTTCACACCCAACACAACCCATATTTGGAACTCTGAATTTTCCAGATTTCTTCCCCCTTGAATCCTTCCCAAAGTCGGCTATTACTCCCTATAAAGTCTCCTCTCACAGCCGCACACTTCACCCAAGAAGTTCGGCTCTCCCTCTACTCTTGAAAGACAAACAATTCGGCTCCTTTCTTCCCTCACAAGAGCAAGACAGATTCGGGTTGTGGTTCAAGTCAATGGCGTCTCAAGACAATGTGAGCAATGTCTCTCACGGATTCCCCCCACGGGCTGCTCAAGAAACTTCCAAGGGATTTATTCCTAAACCAAGAAACCCCGTATGGATGCAAGAACTTACAAGAAACTCTTTATTCGAAGAGAGGTGCAAGTCTTTAAGAAACAAGATGATCAAGACTCCCAAGAACCTCAAAGGGTGGTACAAGTAATCAAAGTTCAAGGTGATCAAGAAGTTCAAGAAGAGGTTGGCCAAAACTTTTGAATTCTTTTCTTTTCTCTTGCTGTAATTTTCTGGTTTGGGTTGGGACAAGAAGTAACAAGACAGGTTTGACAATAATAATACGGCTTCCTTCTTTGTTTCTTGTTGTCCGAATTTTTTTTTCTCTTTTCTCTTGCGTTTCTATTTTTTTTTTTTTGACTTAAAGACAACACAAGTTCTTGTCTGAATGAGTAAAAATCCCAGAAATAAGGTCAGCCCTCAACACGCAAGAACGTACCACCCAACTTCCTCAAACTAACAAGGTTTCTCCAAGACTTTCAAGAATTTCAAGATAGCGGTCAAGAACTTCAAGAACCTTAGAAACCTTGTAGATTTTCTTCAAGATTCACCAACCCAACAAGTTTTTGTATCCCAAATCAGTTTAGGCATGCTAAGCACACAACTTGGATAACATTAACTACTTGGACAGATTTGACAACAAAGAAAAAACCCTAGCCGCGAAATTGGGAAACCCTAGCTGTCTTTTTTTTTTTTTTACAGATTCGGCTATGACCCAAAGTTGGCAGAATTAATGCAACTAAAAGCACAAAACCTGGTCAGATTAGGCTAGCAACAATACGACACTTTGGACAGAAGTGGACATCAAATCGTGACAAAACAACCGCGGCAGAATTGAAGCACAAACGACTCAAACAACAAGTGTCGAACAGATTTGGTGAACACAATACCGACCAGAATTGATGCAACCAAACGCAACTACACGACCAGAATTTTTGACAACAAAAGAAAGAAAATGGCACAACACAGCAACAAAGCTAACGAACAGATTTTTTTTTTTTTAACACGGCACAAACGGACAGATTTGGACTCGACTTCAACAACAAACAATGACCAGAATTTTTTCTTTTTGAGGCAAGTGCAGCGGAAATAAGGAAAACTAAGACAAAACTACGGATATAACGGAAGATACCTCTACCAAAGCTCTGAAGCCAACTGATACGTTCCTCAATCAACACGTTTCGAGACACGTAGCACGTTTGCCCAAGGATCTAGCGAGGTTGTCCAACGCTTGGTTAGCGGAACCTGGAGTCAAACGGACGACACGATTTGACTCAGGTGGTAGACGACACTCCGATGAAGGTGAATACTCCAGGGAATAGGTCGGATGAACAATCAAGGACAGGACGCAAGATTGCTCAATAACCCTTGCCAAAGCAAGTTAAAGGCTCGAATTCTCTAGAAAGAAAACGAAAGTACTAAGAATATTATTCATAAAACTTGTGTCTTTAACCTTACAAAGCTAGCCTATTTATAGGCTAGAGATAACAAGAAAAACCCTAAAGACACCCTAAAGGAAAAGTCGGCCAGCTTGTCTTCAAGATGGGCCGGCCCATGCCTTCTACTAAGCAACTAATCCAACTAAATAAATAACAACGACTAAGGCCCTACTCGGCCGACTCACAAAGAGGCCCACTTGATTCTTCATGGGTTTGGATCAAAGTGTAAGTTGCTTGATTGACTCTTTCCAAGCCTTCAATATCTCTATGGGCTCCATGTTGATCTTGGACAACTCGAACAAGGGCTTGCAGGGATTCTTTGAAGAGCTTGGCCCGTGCACGTGTGACAGGGCCCAATGGGACTCGGACTGGGCTCTAGGTCATGCACACATCAGCCGGCCTCCTGGGTCGAGCACCATACCTCCAAGGCAGCCATGCCGACCTCCTGGGTCGAGCGTTGGACTTTCGGACTTCAAAGTTTTAAGCCGTGCCGACCTCCTGGGGTCGAGCATCCATTTTCAGACCTAAAAGTTTCAGGCCGTGCCGACCTCTTGGGGTCGACCATTCACTCTCAAACTTTAAAGGCACCCTATCCATTACCATTTATCCCCAGCCCCCCACTAGGACACTTAGCATTGTCTGAGTGTGCTAGTGCAGGATTTAAACTTAAAAATTAAACGGCATTGACAACGATGAGCTTAAAATTTGAAAGTCGAACATTTATTTAATGATCGACTTGTATGTGGATTTTGAAGAACAGACTGTAAGATATCCTGGCCTAATCTACCCTACGAACAATCGTAGATTCGAGAAGTGCCGAATGCGGGGTACCTCTGCTCCATCCAATTTCGCGAGCTTGCAGTAACCAGCTCTGCTCGCTTTCAGGACCTTGTATGGCCCCTCCCAATTCGGGTCAAGCTTGTTGGAGCTATGAGCTCTACTGATCGAGTTCTTTCTTAAGACGAGGTCTCCCGACTGGTACTGTATGTTCCTCACTTTGGCGTTATGATAGCGAGCCAGCTGGATTTTGTACTTTGCCATCTGTATCGCCGCTTCCTCACGCTTGGCCTCCAGCATGTCCAAGTTACACTTCAGCTCTTCTTCGTTAGCTGACGCAACGAAGTTCTGCGTCCGAGGCGAGGGGAGACCGATCTCTGCGGGCACCACCGCCTCTACCCCATAAGTCAGGGAGAATGGGGTCTCGTGGGTGTAGTGCGGTAAGCCCAGAGGACACTAGGGAGTTCCTCTAGCCAGTTAGACTGAGCTAGTTCCAACCTAGTCTTTAGTCCCTGCAGAATGGTTCGGTTAGCATTTTCCACCTGGCCGTTGGCCTGGGGATGGCCGACCGATGTGAAGTGTTGGTTGATCCCGAGCTCGGCGCACCAGCTCTTGAAGGGGTTTTCGGCGAATTGGCGCCTATTGTCGGATATCAAGACGTGCGGAATCCCGAAACGGCAGACTATGTTCTTCCAGAAGAATTTCTGAACTGTCTTTCCAGAGATAGTGGCCAGAGGCTCCGCTTCCATCTACTTTGTGAAGTAGTCGATGGCCATCACAAGGTGCTCGTATCTCCCCGGGGCTCTAGGGAAAGGGCCCAGGAGGTCTATCCCTCACTGAGCAAAGGGCCAAGGGCTATGGATGGGAACCATTTCCCGAGCGGGCTGGTGGCGCAGCGGGGCGTGCACCTGGCAAGCTCGGCATTTCTGAACCAGAGCCGCGACATCTCGAAACACTAAGGGCCAATAGTAGCCTAGGAGTAGGCACTTTTTGGCCAAGACCCGGGAGCCAACATGTGCCGCGCATAGGCCTTCATGAACCTCATGGAGGATATAGTCACCTTCCTCAGGAGTCACGCACTTTAGCCAAGAAGACAAGTACGACCTCCTGTAGAGGATCCCCCCAGCGTAAGCGTACTTAGCAGCTCGGAGCTGGAGTCGGCGAGCTTCCGTTTTATCCCCTGGAAGGACACCCGAGCTGAGGAAGTTCACGAGAGGAGTCATCCAGGTGGTCGAGCTGTCTATAGCCAAGACCTGGGTCTGGCCAATGCTTTTTTGCTTGACCACCTCTACCAAGACTTCCTTGCTCAGGTGGGCAAACGAGGAGGATGCCAGTTTCGACAGGGCGTCCACGCGCTTGTTCTGGGATCTTGGCACCCGCTCGATTTCAAAAGTATCGAACAGGGCTATTGCCTCTCGTACCTTTGCCAGGTATTTCTTCATGACCTCCTCCTTGGCTTCGTATTCCTCGCGACCTTGCTGGACTACGAGTTGAGAGTCGCTCCGGACTCTGATCGCGGTTATACCCATCTGGTGGGCTATCCGCAATCCTGTCAATAGGGCCTCGTACTCAAACTCATTGTTTGATACCGGGAAGTCGAATCTGAGCGCGTAGGTCAGCTCTTCCCCTGTGGGCGAGGTGAGCAGCAGGCCGGCTCCTCTTCCTTCCTTACTCGAGGCTCCGTCTATGAATAGCACCCATGGCTCTTCCGGCTGTATGTCCGTGGGCAAAGAGCTTGACTCGGTCAGCGTCAAGCTAGCCCCCTCAGCAAGAAAGTCTGCCAAGGCCTGAGCCTTGATAGCGGTGCGAGGCCGATAGCCGATGTCGTGCTCGGCCAGCTCGACGGCCCACTTGGTCATTCTGACCGAGACCTCAGGTTTTGTGAGTATCTGACGTAAGGGTTGATCCGTCATGACAACAACGCTGTGGGCTTGGAAGTAAGGTCGGAGCTTCCGAGCGGCGTGCACCAAGGCCAGGACCAATTTTTCTGCCGGCGTGTACCGCGTTTCTAGCCCTTGTAGGGCACAGCTAACGTAGTATATTGGCCTCTGAGCCCCCTTGTCCTCCCGTACCAGAACCGCGCTAACGGCCTCGTTACAGGCAGACAAGGATAGGAACGGGGTTTTCCCCCGCTCCGAGGCGGTCAGAGCAGGCAGTTCAGCCAAGTATGCCTTTAGGTCGGTGAAGGCTTTCTGGCATTCCTCAGTCCACTGAAAGTCCTTGGGTGCTTTCAGGATTCGAAAAAAGGGTAGCCCCCTTACCGCGGAGCGCGAGATGAACCTATTTAGGGCGGACATCCTTCCCGTGAGCCGCTGGACCTCTTTGATGCTCCTCGGAGGGGCCATGTCCATGATGGCCTGGAGTTTATCCGGGTTGGCCCGGATCCCCTCTCGAGAGACTAGGTAGCCCAGGAATTTTCCCGACCTAACCTCGAAGGTACACTTCTTCGGGTTCAGCTGCATCCGGCTTTCCCATAGAATGTTCAAGATTTCCCTCAGGTCGAGAATGAGCCGCTGGTCAGTTCGGCTTTTGACGATCATGTCATCTACGTAGACCTCTATGCTCTTGCCGATCTAGTTTTGGAATAATTTATTGACGAGGCGCTGGTAGGTAGCTCCAGCGTTTTTCAGCCCGAACGGCATGGTCCGGTAGCAGTAAGTTCCTTCCTCAGTGATGAAGGAAGTCTTTTCCCGGTCCTCCTCAGCCATCTCTATCTGGTGGTATCCCTTGAAGGCATCCAGGAAACACAAACATCAAAACCCATAGTAGAGTCTACTAACCTATCGATTCTCGGCAAGGGGAAGCAGTCCTTAGGGCAGGCCTTATTGAGGTCTGTGAAGTCCACGCACATCCTCCAGGACTGGTTCTCTTTCTTCACCAAGATAGGGTTGGCTAGCCAGGTCGGGTAGATATCTCCAGGATGATCTTGGATTCCAACAGCTTGCCGACCTCCCTCTTGATCACCTCGTTCCGCTCCGGGGCGAAGCTTCTCTTCTTCTGCTTCACTGGCTTGATGCGGGGGTCTATGTTGAGGTGGTGGACGGCCAGGTCAGTCGGAATCCCAGGCATGTCTTTAACCGTCCACGCGAAGACCTGGGAATACTTCCTCAGAAGGGCCTTCAACCTCTCCTTCTCCTCAGAGGGTAGCAGCGCACCAATGCGGAGAACCTGGTCAGGCCTGTCCTCCCTCAAGAGGAACTCCTCGATCTCGTCCTGGGTGCCCAGCTGTTGGGCCTCCTCCCCCGGGATGTAGGGCTCCAAGCTGGTCGTCTGGGCGACCACCTTCTCAGGTCTCCGGAGCATGGCCAAGTAGCAAGCTCTAGCCACTTCTAGATCTCCTTGCACCTCGGCTATCCCTCCCGGGGTGGGGAATTTGACGCTGAGGTGGAGCGAAGAGGGAATAGCCCGGAGGGCGTTCAAGGCGGGCCAACCTACGAACACGTTGTACGGGGATTGTTGTTTGACCACCACGAAATTGACTGGGATGGTCCGGCATTTTGGGGCCTGCCCTACCGTGACCATCTGGGTGATCATCCCCTCTGGGTGAATGGGTGGTCCGGTAAAGCCCACCAGGGGTGTCCGGACCGGGGTCAGCTATCTGTCCTCCAGGCCGAGCTCCTTTAACACCCGATAAAACATATTGTCAACCGCACTCCCTTGGTCGACATACACCTTCTTCACCTGGTAATTGTTGGTTACAACATCTATCACGATGGCCTCGTGGTTCTCGGACGCCAGGGGAACCGCATCCCTTGGTCTGAAGGTGATCTCCTCATCCAGGAGCAGGCGCTTCAGGGAATCATCTCCCTCGGGGGGAGGTCGCCTGTTTTTCCGAGCTGCCTGGCTATCCCTCCCCGTGGGGCCCCCCGCGATGGTGTTTATCACCCCCGCTAGGTTCTGGATGTCCCGATCGGGGAAGCTTCCTAGAGGGAGGTCGCACCGCTCAGGGTGGTCGCGACGCTAACCCTCGCTCCTGTCTCCACGGTACGTGCGTCCGAGCTCCTGGCCTGGACGACCTTGCCGTACGAATCGCCCCAGGAAACCGCACTGGATCAGATCCTCGATCTCTCTCCGCAGGACCTAGCACCCCTCTATGTCGTGTCCGACGTCACGGTGAAAGGCGCAGTACAGGTCCTGGTTCCTTTTGTTCCGAGGTGTCCCCATCTTGGGCGGCCGATCTCCCAGGCCCTCCTCCGCCTCCATGACAGCCAGGATCTGGGCCCTGGGTCGAGTCAGGGGCGTGTAGCCTTTTTCCGAGAGCGATGACGGAGCAGGGGCTTTCTCCCTCGAGAGCCGGTCAAAGACGTTCTTCTTGGCCGGACCGTCCTTGTTCACGGGGGGTTTCCCCGCCCTCTCCGATCTCCGAGCTCTAGATCTGATTCTCTCTTCTGGCGGGCCCCCTCCTCTGCGTTGGCGGCTGCGTGCGCCCTGGTCAAGAGTTCTTCCAGATTTCCAGGAGGCTTCTCGGCCAGCTTGTAGAAGAGCTCCTCTACCCTGGGCCCATTCATGAAGGCGGCCATGACGACCTTTTCGTCTTTGTCCCTGATCTGTAAGCTCTCCGTGTTGAATCGAGTCATGAAATTCCCCAGTGACTCGTCGGGCCTCTGCCTAATTGCCATCAGGTGAGTTGCGTTCTTCGAATAAGTCTTGGAAGAGACGAACTGGGCGAGAAACTGCCTGACCAGCTCGGGAAAACTCCGAATAGACCCCGGTGCTAGACCTTGGAACCAGAGCCGGGCTTTCCCCTTTAGGAACATGGGGAAGGTCTTGCAGCGGATTTCGTCCGCCGCGGTTTGCAGGTCCATGTGCGTCAGGAAGACCGAGAGGTGGTCCTCCGGGTCGGTCGAGGCATCATACAACTCGATGTTCGGGATCTTAAACCTCCGAGGTAACGGGTAGTCCTCTATCTCCCGGGTAAAGGGCGAGGTCGTGTAGTTATTGTCGTACAACCGTGGCCGCAAGATCTGCTCGAGTTCGTCTCGAACAGGCTTCCACTGGGGAAGGTCGCGCGGTCGGTTTTTGACAGAGCGGTCGGGGGAGAGCTCAGGCTCACCCCGCGCAGGCTTCCGCGGCGAGGGGTTTCTCGGTCTACTCCCTGCAGACCGGTCGCGGGAGTACCTCTCGCTATCCCCGACCACCGAGGCTCGTGGGCGAGGGAGAGTTCGCGGCCGTTTCCTTCTGGGGGGCTGGTCCCGTGACTCATCCTCCGAGTGGTCGGGAGGTGATTCCTTCTCCTTCCCCTTCGCCTTGGAGGTCTGCGCGCCCCCGGCTTCGCCTTCCTCTTTCACCTGTCGGATCATATCCTCCAGCATGGGGAGGTTCTCCGTCACGAACTGAAGGATCTATTGTCTCCGCTCTCCTGAGAGGGCTGAGCCCCCGGCGCCCCGAGCAGCCTCGGTCTCCTTTCGCTGGGACCCCTCACCAGCCCCGGGATCGGTGGTTTCCATAGTTCGCTTAGAACGAGTTCTCGCCATCAACACCACTGCACTTACCTTTCGTTTCCCACAGACGGCGCCAACTGAAGAGGCGCTCAGCTTCCCCGGACCGAGCTGACCTGACGAGCTCGGCGTGCTGATGAGGAGGACTAGTCCAACCCTGCAAAACAAACAGGAAGTAGTCTCTTGGGAGACTAACTGGGGAGCCCCGACGTGGTCCCCGAGGGCACTCCGACGGTCAAGTTAGTTTTTCGGCGAATAAAGTTCACGGGAAGTAAAGCGGTCGAGAGCAATTTGCCAATAGTGAGCGTACCTTATACAGTAGGTGTGCAGTACCATTTATACTTGCTTGTGAGTCCGACCTCCGTACGTTTCGGAACCTGCTCGGGATAACCTCAATCCCGCGCTGAGGGGGATTTTCCCGGCCCTCTGCAGGATTGTTTTTCGGAGCCTCTCAGAGCCCTAGAGGCGATGAGCCCTGGGACGGTTGTCAGGGGTCTGCAGGCCAGGCCCAGCTCCGCCCTTCCTGGGCTGCCACGTGTCTAGGCCCAGGACGAGGCCTCTGCAACTCCCATTAAATTTCTTCCAAATGAAGTCATAACCCTGTGTCGAGTCATCAAAAGCAACCCAAAAATAAAACCGGATACTGTTCATCAGCAATCTTCACTACTGTAGCAGTACTGTTCATCCGCCGCTACTGTAGCGTACTGTTCATCCGAAAATTTTTTTTTACCTTGTGTTTGTTTCTTGTTGTTCTTGCTTCTTGTAGTTGGCTTGGTAATTTCTTGAAGTTCTTGGATTGCATAGTGGGTTCTTGGAAAAAATCTTGATATTTTGAAAACCCTAAAAGTCATTCTCTTGAATCTTGAAGTATGGCTACCTTGTTTGGTTTCCAAACGTTGATTAATTGCCAAATCTTGATTGGTTCCCAAATCTTGGTTGATTTCCAATCAAAGACCCATTCCTACATTTTAGCCACCACCTCTCCTACTTTTTAGGACTTTCCTTAGCCCATTTGATGTGTGCACGAGTGGCAGCCTTGACTCAAGGCTTTCATAGAGACATTGAATGCTTGAAGAATGATAATCAAGTTGTCTACATGATGATCCAAGCCCGCGAAGAGAGTCCATGAAGGGTTGGTCGACTAGGCCCTAGGCCTTAGTGTTAGGTTCAATTGTTTAGAGTTGGATTAGATTAGTTTATTTGAGTCATGGGCCAGCCCACCTTGTCCAAGGAGTGGCCGACCTTCCTTATCTAGTTTATTAGGGTTCCATTAGTTTTGCCTATATAAAGGCTTGCTTTGTAAGCATAAAGGGGCAGACGGTTTTATGAATAAAGTTGATTATTTTCGTTTCTTCTTGTTAAGAGAGAATCGAGCCTTTTACTTGCTTTGGCAAGGGTTGTTGAGCAATTTTGCGTCTTGTCCCTGATTGTTCTACCAACCTATCCACTGGGGTATTCACCCTCTATTGGAGTCGTCGTTTTACCACCTATAATCAAATCGTGTCGTCTGTTTGATTCTAGGTTCCGCAACCCAAGCGTTGGACAACCTCGCTAGATCCTTGGGCAAACGTGCTACGTGTCTCGAAACGTGTTGATCGAGGAACGTATCACTTGTTACCCCTTTTTAGGAGAACAATTCGGACACAAAAAGACAAGAAAATGCAGCCTTGCGCTGGATTTGGAAATTGAGAGGGATTTGGAATCTTATTTCCACATTCTTGATTTCTAATTCTTTTTAGACTTGGTTCATATTATCAGCTGCCAAAATCCAAAAATACACTTAGGAAACCTTCACAAAATAGCAATTTGCTTTCCAAAAGTGAATCCAAGAATCAAGCAAACTAAACTTCCAAATTCCAACCAAGTACAATTGGATTGACAAATGGAGCATGTTCAATGGTTCATGTTCATAATCAAGTTGAGTTGGCAATATGCTTCTTGGATTGCATAGATCAAGACATTCTTTGAGTTACTCCTTTGTAAGCAAGCACTCGATTTAAGGACAAATCATCTTTCAAGAGGAGGGGAATGATGAGAACACGAAGATTTGGATTCCTTTCAAGTCCAAGAAATTTCATTTTACAAGTCTTCACATTCCAATG